GTGGGTGCGTGGGTGCGTGTGTGCGTGGGTGCGTGGGTGCGTGGGTGCGTGGGTGCGTGGGTGCGTGGGTGCGTGGGTGCGTGGGTGCGTGGGTGCGTGGGTGCGTGGGTGCGTGGGTGCGTGGGCGCGTGGGCGCGTGGGCGCGTGGGCGCGTGGGCGCGTGGGCACGTGGGCGCGTGGGTGCGTGCTATGTACAGGTATGTACAGACAGATGGATGGACGGGCGTGTCTGTGTGTACATAATATATGCAGCTACTGTCTGCCTCTCTGTCCAGGAAGAGGTGTTGAGTGTTACCAAATGAAGACACGCACGCACACACACCGACCCACCCACACACACACACACACACACGCACGCACGCACACACACACACACACACACACACACACGCAAACACCCTACTCCTAAAAGCGATTGCCCATATGCAGAAGTACGCGTGCCGGATACATGCAGGCAGGACCGCGACTCATCAACCACGTCTTTTGGCCACGAAGCAAACGAGGAGCAAGGCGGAAGTGGACAGGGTTGGCAGCTGATCCGGTTAAATTACGGATTCAATGGCCGGCACTGCGCTGCATGAAGCTGTCAGGCTCTTGGTCTGAGCCCGTGGCGTCACGGACGCACACACCATGCCTGCACGAGCATCGACACGGCGATGGAGGCAACAGATCGATTCAGCAAACCTGACGATGCAGCAATCCCAGCACCTTCGGAATGCACCGTCCAAAGCCGCATGACCGGAGGAGACCGCCTGCCCTCCACCTGTGGCAGGAATCGAGCGGAGCCTTGGGGCTTTGGAGAAGTACGGCCCGAGAACCCCAGAACGACATTGTTGGGAGCTTGTCGTGATGATGCCCTCTGCTTTTGGCCTTCGTGCTGTCAATTCACAACCCGGCTGGCTCAAACATCTCCAAAAAAGGTGTATCGTTCGGTGGTTGTCGCAAGTTGCAGCGTGCAACACAGGCTCACATCCAGTTCACCTGCCATCGCGATCGATGCCCTCAAGTCTGAGCTGCAGAAGGCTCTGCAAACAACAGCCTTGCCAAACTTCACGAAGAGGGATGCTTAGCTTGCAATTACGAGATTGATTGTGTGACCTCCGGCACGTGCCTCCTCGTCTCCACTCCCTTGTACTGACGCCACCCACCGCCTTGGAGGGAGAGGGTTTCGAGGAGTCAGGGCTTCCGTCATGACAGATGTCTGGCCTGGGCAAAATACGTCATATGCAGCTTCTGATCCAGAATCTAGCCGCAAAACCCTACCTTCGCAAAAGAATCCAGCTCTGCCACTCTGGGCCCCAAGCCCGTCGTCTGAGGCCTCCAGCATTTCAACGCGCCTCAGTCCGAAAATGGTGGATGAGCCGGAGTGATCAGAAAACCTGGGGTGACCGTAAGACTGCTCGCCAGTTGTAATTCAGCCCGAGGTTTGGATGAGCTTCCAAGGCCTGTACTCCTGTTTCTGCCTGCGGTTCCTGTTTCCAAACCTCCCTTGCACGCCCACCCCTCCAAGTGGCGATAGCATTGAGAACCAGCTGCGACACTTCCGTATCATTCCGCAGCATTCTGAATCGATGGATTTCACGCATGATACTCTGATTCTCCCTCGCCACTCTCTCCCTGTCTCGGTTCGCGGTCCGGGCCTGGCATGACCCTGCAAGAAACGGGGTCTGCTGCTTGGATCCTCCACAAGCAACAGCATCTAGGCCTCTGGGCCATGCTTTGGGGAAGCGTTTCGGTCTCAGGGAGCAAAGCCTAAGCCAGCAAAGCTGTCTAAGTCGGTGAGACTGGAGACAGTCCTGGCTTCGCAGCACCAGGGCCATGCAGCTCATGCCCGCAATCTGCGCAGCTTGCAACATAAAGCGGCAGAACGACTGCAACAGCAGCGACCATGTCGTCACAGCTACCACACTTTACCACACCCCGGAACTGACAACTGACAACAGCGATAGCAAAGGTTGCACTAGTCAATGTGCCCAGGAAGCAGCACCGCAGTAAAGGTAGCAGTAGCAGCAGCGGCAGCCCCTCCAACAGGACCTTCAGCTTACAGTTGATAGACATATGTACCTGTGAAGAGAAAGCGGCAAACAGAGAAAGGAAGACAAAGCGACATGGAGAGTGTCAAGAAGGCAGTGATGGATAGATTCAGATAAATGCCCACCCCCAATTCGCAGAAGGCAGCACTAAATTCTAGAGATCCCGTGAACGTCGCAGCAACCTCCATCGGTGCAGCAGCTCCGTCCTGCAGGTCATCAAATCTCAAGCAGAGGAACCTTTTCAAGGAAGCAAAGCTAAGGAAACGGAAGCTGAAACTGAAGCGGGGATGAGGAAAGCGTTCCGCTTTTTTTTTTTAGGAAGGAGAAGAGACAGTAGTAGGCCCTCATTTGCACCCCTCCGAAGCTCTGCTTGCAAAGCTGCAAGCAGCAGTACGGAAGCCTGCTCCTGCCAGCCCTACCCTCGGACGCTGTGCTCCACCAGAGGAGGTCTCTCTCGTTTCGACTAATTGCGTTAGTCTCCTGCCTTTACCAAACAAGATCGACACGGTTCATGCTGCTCACCGAGGCGTGCAGTCCGGCCCAGCACTTTGCACGAAAGCTGCCCGGCGATGCGGGACCTGGGACGGGTGCTCTGGCGATGACAGCGGCACACAGAGAAGCCACTGCCAGCACCACTCCAGAAATGGCTACAACACTCACAGTTGCAGGCGTACGCCAATCACTTGAGCGGCACGAGCCTGGAGAACTCCGGACGTTTCCACGATCCTGTAGGCGGCTCACAATGTGCAAGTACAAGCTTCTGAGCGGGCTATCGTCCCAGAGAACCCAGGCAATCAGAGACGATGCGTCGCCTGCGCCCACCAGCGACCACCGCCGCCATGTTCCGAATCGATGCGATCGGCCTCGGCCTGAGTCGAGGCGACTCGGGCAGAGGCTGGCCTCCAGGCTGCTCTGTCTGGGTGGCAACTGCACCCCATCATGAAATTCTCCGCGCGACAGGAGCTCAGTCCAAGGCCAATCCTCCTCCACATTTATACGCGCAGGCATAGGCAATCATAGGCACATGCACATAAGTTGCCTCATTTCTTCATATTTCTTCAAGCTCCAACTATTGCGGTCCGGCTGTGCAACAGCCGTATGTTCTTGGGTCGCCTCAACTTCGAGGTATGCTGCCATTGGCGAAATTCATGTATGATACAAGGGTCAACCTTCTGTCGAACGACGGGCTTCCTCTCCCGACCCGGCGAAGCTGTCCTTTTCCGCCTTCCCCGATGGTGAGATGCAGCTGGCAGAGGGCAGAGATGATGAACCTCAGTCGAGAGGATCTCACTGGGAAGGCGGCCAAAGGCTTCAGTCTTCAGGCACAGGACGCTTCAGCCTGGAGTCAGCGGAGCTGAGGACGAGTCTCTTCAGTGGAGACGGCGCAGCCATCACGGCCATCCTCCGGCATTCGAGAAAGCAACACTCGCGGAACGCTTCCGCCCAGGCTCTATTTTTGCCTCCCGCCTGGCTAGGTGTTGCTGGTAAGTTGAGCCGAAACCACAGAGGAAACGAATTTGCAACCAGAACGCCTGTCGCTGGCAGCTGCTGCAGCCTGGCAATTTCTGCAGACGCACCCGCGCGCAGGTTTCGGTGTTCTCTCACCGCGATCCGGAAACTGAATGCAAGCCAAGCTGAAGGAAACTCAGCGGTGCAGAGGGAACTTAACGAATGGAAGTATCCCTGTTTCTGCTTCAGAATCTGACCCCAGATCTGCGAAGAAGAGCTGCAAACAAGACAAGGTTGAGCTGCCTCCCCAGCATCCGGAACATCGACAAATGCCCAGTCCTGCAAGGACGAGAATGGTGGTCTATTCATGTGGCAGGGTCGGCGAAACCTTGTCACAATCCGGTGGTCCTTGAACTCACCCAGGATTTCGCGAGGTCCAGCATGGGCGGCGTAGTATCCTGGTGTCGCTGCGCGCGTGCGCGCGCAAGGCATATGGTATTTCCGAAGCCCATGTAGCCGGGAGCAGTCACCCTGAAAGTATCGAAGCCGAAGCCGACACATCTGGCCCGTCAGCTTTTTGGGTTTGGGGGATGTTAGTAGGGGAGCCCAGGTGGAAGATGCCAATCTCTGAGCGGGGGTTCGAATAGGGGCGAAGCTGCACAAGCTTACTTGAGACGGTTCGACCCTTGATCACTCCGTTTCCCTCACATGTCTTGACAGCAAAGGAGACAGGTGGACGTAATGAGCCCAGACATATGTCCCCTGCCATCAGTCATTGACAAGTCAGTGTCTGCCACCCGCTCGAAGATCTGAGGCCTGCTTCCTGATTATCTTGTGACGAGCATCGGTCGGAGGTGAAGACATTCCGCACATACAGAGACGAACAGATCTGGATGGATCCTGGGATTTGTCGAACACCCACACGGATGCCAGTCCAGGTTGCGCATGCTTCTTCGTGAAGCTTTGCTCCTACACGTACTGTACCTCCTGGCAACACGCTCAAACCTGGAGATGGCTCCATTGGCTCCTCGTTGTGTATCGTTTGACCTCCCCAATGTGCGTCTCTCGCTGCCCAGACGCTCAAGAGGAAGCCGTGTCGGTTGACTCCTGGAACCACGCCCAACGCTGAGGGCACATGGAGCCGCACCACCTGGGCAAATAACAAAAACGCAACCGCGAAGGCTTGGATAACTACCCAATCGCACTGGAATCACAGAACAGGTGCAGAGCATGTTAAGCAGCGGGCAGTCCACTGCTCCGGCAGCTGGCAGGGACACTGAATGCAGTGGTATGTCGCCGTCCCCACCTGTGCCAATCTCGTTTAAACGGCTTCCCGTGCCGTTTCTGCCCGAATGATCGCGAAGAATGTCCCACATCAAAACACCAACTGCCTTTTCCAACTGCTGTCGGCTATGGACAAACCCAGCTGCAATCAACAGAAACTTCGAAAAACTCCTCATCCTGCTTTCCCGCACAAAAGCATGACCGACCACAGCACATGGCGCTCAGATGTCTGGGTGGGCTATGCCGGCTATGCTTCGCTCAAGCTTGGCCTCGTGGTATGCGTTGCTCAGGGAAATTCCTTGGTGGAAAGCCAACACCCCGTGCTGCAAGCACCACGAGCTCCAAGATGCAAGGCTTTGTGCCACTGGCTCACTAGCATTGACATTTTTGAGAAGTCGTCTTAAAGCCCATCGTACCTCCGCTATCCTGCCCCGACTGGCGAGGCGCATGATCGCTGAAAAACCCGTGAGCCTTCCTTCAATGTGGCGGTCATCCTGATCGAAAGTAACGCCGTAGTGGTAATGAGTAAGCATCTGTGCAGTGTGCCTCCTGCGCAGCAATGCAACGAGCAGCTCACCCCGGAGCAAAGCATATGACAGTCTGAAGAGCCCAACAGTTCAAAACGAAGCCAGGCAAGAGTCGAAACCGCTGGCCATTGCTGACGACATAGTCCTTGATGCTATCGCCGTTTGGGACTTGTGTTTCAAATCTCGTGGATGCTCATCGGAACATGTCACGGTTCTACTCAATGCATTGAGTCCGACTGCAAGAAAATTCCATCGCCTGGCACCTCAAACCACTGCGTGACATGTTCAGCCTAACCCCAATCCAGGGCCATGCAGCCAGGTGGATGAGAAAGTACTTGCCGCCGAGGAGTTTCCTGAGAGTGGAAATGGAACTTCAAGCTGGCGTGAAGAGCATGCACGATAGCTTAACGGGACAAGCTAACAGGCAGCACCTACCGACACACACAGATTGAGGGTTATCGAAGTAACGCTGTTCGGAAGTAGGACACCTTGTGGGCCTGACGCACCTTGAATTAAGTAGTCACGAATTACACGAATTTCGACAGTGCCCCGAAGCGTAAAACCACAGAGCCCTCAACTCCGAATGCCAGGACACGACGTGACGACGAGAGCCCCAAGTCCCAGTTCTCGCCGAAGCACAGCTGGAGGTAAACGAACTCGCCGACGAGGTCCAAACTTCGGACCTTGCCCTGCGGCGCTGGGAGCGGAGAGGGCCCTCCCCGAGAGCTCAGGGCTGAGGGGCTGAGGGGCCTAGGGTACAGTACGAGCGGTGCTTCTGGCGGCTGTACAAGTGCGGAGTATACTTGTGCCACCCGCTTTGACGTAAAGGTGCCTTTCTAAAACCGACCTTGACGCCAATGTGAGAAGGCGTTGCGAGCAACAAGGCACTGTGATGACATGTTGATAAAGGTGCACGACTGGGCCGAAGATCTTCAACAGATCCCAACACTAAGCACCTTACTCGGATAGGACGGAGAGCCAGTGGTCTGTCACATCGCATGGTCAACAAGGTCTCCCAAAAGCCTTGCTCTGACCTGACCCTGGCTGGCTCTGGGCCTCCAGGCCCTGTGACAGTTACAGCTCCGATGCTTTGGCTCTTTGTGGCCATGGGTGTTGCACCGGGCAGCCTTCGTCTTCGGCAGTTGGATGTAGTTATTGGCGGAGACCTCGGGAAAACGCGTCAGGAACCAACAAGCATTGCTCGCCGCTCGACGTATCCAAGCGTCATCCGCGTCGCTGCACTCCCTTCCAACTGAGGTCCCACACGGACCCTTGAACTTTAAAGACTCGTTTGCAAATCTCCCGGTCCATCTCCTGCACGGCTTAATCAAGGGGGAGCAGGCTCTTGTCATCAAAGTCTGTATGGGAGATCTTTCTGTGAGGAAGGTTCGCGCATCTTCGCGTTTAGGGGACTCTACCCAACTACACGGAAATGTAACGGGCCCTACTAAATTCTAGGCTTTACGGCGTTTTGTTCCCTCTGGCATGGCGTTACGGTTTTTCTTGCCTCCCACTTTGTGGCTTCAGGCTTGCAGGTTTTCGGCGTGCGGACTCTCTAACAGGTTCGTGGTCCCATCGGCAAGCCCCTACACACATGAAATATCAAGCCTGAGCTCGAAAACATCAGATGAAATAGGTTAGTTGGAGGCTTGTTCGTTTGAAACCAGACATTGAGTCGTACCTGCAAGCAACTCAAGACTTGAGACTTTATCCCAGCTGTGCGCCAAGACAGCCCGAGAACAGGGAATGCCACCCAATGCAAACCCATTCTTTTGACGGCGAAACTGTGCGTTACAGTGGAAAACGAGGAAGAACTCCCCTTTTTTCCTATAGAGAGAGCCCAGAGAGAGCCCAGAGCCCTGTTTTGCCCTAAATCTGAGGCCCTACACCCCCAGCTGCGCCTCCGAGACCTCTCCTTTGAGGTCGGCCGAGAGCGCGGAGCCCTTCAGGGAGGCCCCGGAAGGATCCGTGCCGAAGCTCCTGGAGAGAAGGGCTGGAGTTGCTCATCGTTCCTTCGGTCGATATCACGTCATATGATACCACAATGTACCTATATGATACAGGGCTGCGAACCGTTCCCCCCCCCCCCTTCCCCCTCGCATCCCCGCCCCACCCTGTGGCTTCGTTGTTGCTGCATCTACTATGGTCGTGCGGCCCGCATCCGCCGTTCTTGAAGTTCTTATGTGCTACTCTTTATCTTGCTTCTTGCTGTGCTGCTCTAGACGGCGACCGACGTTGGAAATCCACGTCGATACCTTCTTCTTCAAGGCGGCTTGCTAATTCCCATGCCCGAAAACAAGCCCTGCGATTCTCACACGAATTAAAGGGTATCCCTTTCAAACTCCAACAAACCCTGTGCGAAAAACTGCAATATGGACAAGGGATGCAGGGTTTCGGAAGTTGCTGGGCTCACACCGTCTCTCGGCACCAAAGATCCCTTCGCGCACGTCTATTAAAAAATCTTATGCCAGGGGCTGCCGAAAGCTTGTCGACATCTCAGGTGTCAGTTGTAGCAAAGACCTGACACCTCACCCCTAATTGCTACAAACATCCCCGCCCCCTAAGACCCTAAACCCCTAGACTCTGTTGTGAACAGCGAAACCCTAAACCCTGTCTTGAAAATGTCGACGAAAGGATGCTGCCATTGCCGGCCGATGCTAGGCATCTGCAGTGGCACCACCGGCCTTGGCAAAGGTGCACGTCTACGTGGTGAATGCTCATATAAAAAGTTCACAAACCAAACAATTAAACATGCAAGCTAAGAAAATAAGTTGCAATGTAATCTGGATTTGTCGAACATGCCATCAGATCATATCTTTGACACGATGCCATATGATAAGATACGATAAGGAATTTGTTACACCACAACAAAACACCGTAGTTCAAAATATAACATGCTATAAGGCTATAGGAACAAATGAAGTATACTGTAAGTTTCATGAACCCAGCACGGAAGATAGTAAGGTCCAGGGCAATATGACATGATACACGACCGTGTAAGATATGATAAGGCTAGATCATATTATGATTTGGCAAAGTGTACTACAACTTATTGTAAGGTGTCATCGCTGAGTAATTACAAGTTGAGTACCGAACACGCATAATACTAAATAATACCGTATGCTCTAGCATAATACAATATGGCATTGCTTTGCATTGTATGTATACATATATACATACATACATACATACATACATACATACATACATACATACATACATATATATATACACATACATTCACACATGTATGTATATAACTTGTCATACTACTGCATGTGTAGGTATATATGTATATATACAATAAATGTGTATATACAGGCATATACAGCAACACCCCCTTTTCAAACTTCGTCCAACGGGGCCCCATCATGTCCCGTCCCAACCTGAGGCCGGAGCTCACATCCACGTGCAAGGCGCTTCAGTGCCGCTTTTGTGTGTGCTGCTTGGCTTGGGAACGTCTCTTGGGAATATGATGGTGGGTCATGAATCTACCAGAATAAACTCAACCTCAAGTGACTCACTCATCTCCGGGCTGTGTCGAAACGCTATGCCCCTTTTTGGTGCGCTCCGTTTTCCGAACGTCCTCTTCTCCGTACGGTACTAAGAAGATATACCACAATATGTATGTACATATAGGCACTACACGGTACGAGTAGTGTTTAATATACAATACGAGTAATATGCAATAGGGGCTCTGGGGCATGTTGAAGCCAGCCCATCGGCTCGAGCCGTGCCGGGGCCCGACCCCCAGAAAAGGAATCCTAGCAGTTTCAATCGAAGGATGGATTAAAGTAAAGGGCTTTATTTGTTTTGCTTGCAAACATCAAGTACAATCCCTAACCAGTTGCTCAGGTTTGGACTTTCGCAACTCGGACAACGCAGGCGAAGGGTTTTTCAGGGTATAGGAGATTTATATCGAAAAAACATCATTTGTTGATTGCAGTAGTTGCGGCAAGAGACCAACAACTTAAGGGACTGCTACAGCAGCTGCCATAACCTCCGTCTGAACATCTAAACCGAGGAATCGTCAAAAAGTCAAAACCTGCCCTCATCATCACAATCACCGCGGCCATCACTGTTGAGATGATGAAAAACACAGCATCGCGACCGGTCAAGCACCTTTCAAACCATCCCGCTAATCGCTGGCGCTCTCTACCTGCTTGGGGACGACAAAGGCATACTCTCGTATAATCGTCTGGGCTTGTGGAGCAGGGAGAGAGGGAGCAAGGGGGACACTGACATCGGAACTGATTAAGACGATGCTGCCAATATGCGGTAACGACACGTTGACGGTCGTCCAGCACTTGTGCTATGATAATGATGGTGATCAGCACGCATCTGCTGAGTTTCAGCTGATAGCTACAGCAGCAACACGAGTGACAGCAACACTGTAAACTTGTGGTACAGCAGCAGGTGCAAATGGCTGCAAGAGTTCCGATACCACTGGGGCCGGAGTCGAACAACTCGTTCATTGCTGTCGCCGGTAGCTGCACGAAATATTTCGGACCACCCACAACAACAACAACAACAACAACAACAACAACCCGTACACTGCGTACGCATTACTCCACCGTTTGCGGAGGGGGTACTGAGCCCTCCCACGATGTCAACGTGGGTCCCCGACAGGAGGGGGGGAAAAAAAAAACGAAGTCCGCGTCCACGATGTCGAAGTCCGCATCCACGATGTCGACGATGTAGACCTGATCAGGGGAGGGGTTCAGGCGGTAATTAGAGGGGACATGGGAGAGGGCTTACAGCAAGCTGTAGAAGGAGTCCGCAGTAAGAAGCAGGCTGGAACGTCTTCGCTCCCCGGTTCCAAGAAGCGGATCTCGAGACAGCACATGGAAACAACGCCAGACAAGATGCTTGCGGCCAAACCCACCAAAACTTAAACACTCAACATTAAATACAGATCCTGCCCCCGAATGTGACAAGAGAGTCTTATCCGAATGCTTCGGTTAATATCTACACAGAGTATTCTACGTCCGTGGCCATCGCGGTAAACAAAACGTCGTACCAAGCCTGATCACCCTGAACCCCCACAAAACCTTACACCCCAGGTCCCTAAACCCTGTACTGGGCACAGAATCACAGGCCTTGATGCTGGGCATGTAGCAAGGCAAGCTTGAGCTACAGATTGACAGATTTAGGGACGTAGGGGTTATCATAAGGGATTCCGGACATGGAGGTTAAGGACTGCAACACCAACAGCTGCGGCAGCACCGCTTCGAGGTGTCTTCTCCGTAAACCGCCAACATCAGAACAGACAAACTCCCCCCAAAATAACAGTAAGCCCAGCAACATAACCACAGAACTCCTAGCACAGACACCCATCCACAGAAACTCGACCACTTCCTGTGGCGCCACCTTTTTTAGAGGGCTTCCTCGGGCTTGTCTATATACCGGCTTTCGACCTGGCAGTAAGCCTTCCTGCACGGAGGAGGGCTTCAGGGTTTAGGGCTGAGGTTGGAGCAGAATTTACAGAACTACGCACATACAGGCCGTAGAAAGTTGTGTGAATACGAATTGCTCTTGCAGGGAGGTAGGCGCCTAGCACAAGAACCTACTTTCGCACCCGAACAATGAACTTTTTGCCAACAGTCGAGGAATCCGAGCCCCAAAAGTCAGGCTCAGCAAAGCAAAACATCGAAACTAAAGATGCACCTGACCTGCCACGATTTGGGCAAAGCAACATCAGCGAAATATCTCAAGCCGGGTTTATCTAAATCCTGTCGGTGTGGTCTACGCGAGAAAAGTCATAAGCGAACGGACGCTGCAAAACAGACGACGGGCATGCTGCGGAAAGCTAGTTATCTCAAGCTGGGCCTGCGCAGCCTTCGTCTCGCTGGTAGGACATGTGAAGCTCCTGGCGCCACCAGCTCTGCACAAATACAATGTTTTCTTGTGGTGTCGTAAGTGGCAGTTTCGCACCCGACCTAGGACATGGTCACCCTCCACCCCAACCTCGTGTTGGCCACGTTGGCTCGCAAGAGTGGCAGACCCGCTGGACTCGCCAGGCCCCGTGGAGAAAAAAAAGCTGACAAACTTGATCCGCGTAGTCCTTTCCTATTAATAGCTTCAAAGCCGGATCATGTGTCCAGCATTTTTGTGCTTTTCATGATCCCAGGGTTTTGATGCTTTTCCGGCTTCGGACACATACGCAGAATATCTGAACAGTTCTGCGGTGCAACTGTTACCTGGCTAAGCAATAAACATCGCGATACTTGCCTGCTCTTCCTTTTCCAACCCAATGCGATGCGCAGTTGATGGTTTATGCCGTGCAGAAAACTCGCTTGCGTGGTGTGGCTTCAAAAACCGCAGCGTGCGAGACTTTACGCTACACGGAAAAGTTTGGCTGTTGCTTTTCGAACTTCGCCTTGACGAGCCAGTAACGTAGTTGCTTGCCACCCATCTTGTCAAGCATGAAATTGAGGCCCGTGAGACCAAGCCGGGTGTGATTACCCCAATTCAAATCGCAAAGGAGAACCATGACACATCTGAACATGCTTTTTTCGTCCTGTTCATGTGTAGGAGAACTGTTCTCTTGTGACACGCTTGAATAAATTAGCTAACCAATGTCAACAGATCCTCACATTAAAAGTTCTTCGCTTTCTCAGTCAACTTGAAAACAATATTGTTCACGTCCAGCACTTCCGAACCTGAGCGATGTAAAAAAGTAGCCATATTACATATAAGTATTCCGAAACCAAAACAACGATATTAGTTTAACGAAAAAAATCGGAAAGTCTTTTTAACTCTTGTCCGAGTAACCATCAGGTAACGTAGCAATGTGACGTTCACGATATACACAAGCGCGCTTGGAACTGCATCGGCCATGGCTTTAAAAGCCTATACAAATGTGCGAGAAAAGAGTCGACTCAAGCAATCGCGGATGCTACGCAGGATGTCCATGGGAATGCGATGCTGCGGGGAAAGCCATACGGCCAACAATATTGGACTCGAACAAAGGCAGCTCCAGCAGAGGCAGGAGACAAGACATACCAGAACCAGTAAGCCCATGTCTAAAATAGAACCAAATAAGAACGGAACCAATACCAAAAAAAACAAAAAAACAAAAAATAATATTTCAGAACTCTTCCACAAGTGTGCACAATTACGAAGAGTTCCGAATATTAGTTTTTTTTGGTTTTTGTTGTTTTTTGGTATTTGTTTTTTTGGTATTGGTTCTTATTTGGGAACGCCCCTGGAAGCCATAATACACGCAGTGCTTCATGAGGGCCGTACCTGCGAGTCAGGAAAAGGCCACAACGCTGGACACGCGAACCGGCCTAAAGCCTATTAATCGCAGTGTACGGGTCAACCAACAACAACAACCAACAACAACCAACAACAACCAACAACAACCAACAACAACCAACACCAACAACACCAACAACACCAACAACACCACCACCAACAACAACAACAACAACAACAACAACAACCACAACGACCACAACGACCAC